AGTGAAACCATATGATAAGTGTTCCACAGAATAATGCCAACTTTTTTTCTCCAAGTAACTCATGAGAAAAATTATTTCTGAAATTAATTTTAAAAAATAGGAAATTAAAGAAAAGAAAAGAATTAACAAATACTATATAGTGAATGCTTGTGAATAGGTCAAGAAATGTAGGTCTTCCAATCAAAAACAGGCAGGTCAACTTGCTTCCAATGAAAAAGACAGGGTGCCTGTATCAGGAATCACTGGGGAGGTAGCAGGCAGAATTGCCTGTGTTCTGTTCTAAGAAAACCATGAAAACAGTGGGGAGCCTGCTCAAAGGGCCAGGCTCCTGCTGCTTGGGTATTTCATTGATTTAGTTACCTGTCCCCCCAAACCCTTGGAGCTCCCCTTCTCACATATTTCAGTATGTACTCCCTTCAGATGTGCACACCCTGTTGAAAATGGCTGCTCTACAGTGTTGGATTTTCTATTTATTTTCATTTGGTAGGTAAAGATTCCCCTTGACATTTAGTCCAGTCGCGTCTGACTGTGCAGTGCTCATCCCTGTTTCCAAGCTGTAGAGCCAGCATTTGTCAGAAGACAGTTTCCGTGGTCACATGGCCAGCCCAACTAGACACGGAACGCCATTACCTTCCCACCGAGGTGGTGCCTATTTATCTACTTGCATTTTACATGCTTTCGAACTGCTAGGTTGGCAGGAGCTGGGACAAGCAATGGGAGCTCACTCTGTCGCGTGGATTCAATCTTATGACGGCTGGTCTTCTGACCTTGCAGCACAGAAGCTTCTGCAATTTAAGCCGCAGTGCCACCACTTCCATTTGGTGGGGGACACTTAAAGTGAAAGATTTCTGTTTCTACCTTGGCAAGATGGTTAAAGGATTGCATTTCATTCTGTTATCAACAATCTGCTTTGCAGGTATCTCATGGGATTTTGGCTCACTCCATTATGAGTGCAGATCTTTTGAAGAATCAGCATAATTGGTAGAGATATATAGAGCTGCTGCTTGGGTGCCTTTTTGCAACTTTGTTAAGTACTACGAGACTTTTTTGCCTCTTAAAGTCAGCCTTTGGACAATAAGTGCTGCAGAGCGTAGAGTCCTAGGGAGCACTGAGCTATTCTGTTCCCACTTAGGTTGAGTGCTTGGATATGCCCCCCACTAGACTATCCTCCTCCACTGCAGGAAAAAGGAAGTTGGACTTACTGTGAAGTATCCTTTTTTGCAGTGATGGGAGGATAGTCTAGGGTCACCTGGTGGTTTCTTCTATAAGATATGATCTAATTGTTGATAATCTTGATGACTGTTGGATATCATAGACAGGTTTTTGTTTTAGTATGAGATTTTTGTACCGTTATGGAAGTTAACTTTTTGTTGCATGAAGCTTCATCATAGAACTGTGAGGGTCCATTCTCAGTCAGGAAAAGATAATGCAGTTTGATTGACAGATTGGTCCTGCCTCTGGAGCAACTAATAGCTTAACCTACTCTAAACTAACCTCTTATCACTGCAGAAAAGAATACTTCATGGTAAGTCCAAATTTCCTGTCATATGTTGAACACAGTAAGTTGCAGAATTCATGCTTCATATGTAGAAGGTTGGAAAGACCATCCAATTATAAGATTCTGGCATTCAATTCTGGGAGAGATTTCTGTTTCCTGCTTATGAGAGCTTCTCCAGGGCATTGTAGACAGTAGTTGTCTTTTTTTTAAAAAAAAATCAGGAATTTGTCATAAAACTGCTCCATAGAATCGTCACCATACCTTTCTAGGGTACATTAGTGACAATGTAAAAAATATTGTTTCATTTTCATTCAAAAAATCAAGCAAGACATCAAATTAGTGTGTTAACTATCGGGAGAATTTAAGCAGGTGATTCTTCATCTGATTTTAGCGTAATTTGCGTATATTTTGAACTTTCCAAATTCTGACCTAAATGGTTCTCTACTTTTATTAGACAATGCATATATAAATAGAATAATCAGCTCTATTATTAACTAATTCCTAGTTTTCTTTCAGGTAGATGTTGGAGATATAGTTTTAATAAAGGGCAAAGAATATATACCTGCAGACATTGTACTTCTCTCATCAAGGTAGAGATGCTCATCAATGCTTCCAGAGTAGAGACTGCCTTCTCTATCCTGCCTTGACATTTCTCCAAGGAAATAAAGAGTAAACTGAAGTACTTCCCCCTCCCAAACCTTAACTTCATGTAAAACACTGAAATACTATTTTATTCAAAGAGTACTATAGACCAGGAACAAAACTAGCTACTGTGAACCTATCAAGGCCTTTTGTGGTTGAAGTTTCTAATTTGTTTAATGATATAAAGTCATAAAAACCTCTAATTTCTTTATCACATCAAAATGCAAAATATTATGCTTAATACTGAAAGTGTTAAATCTATATTTCCTTGGGCAGCTTTATTTACAGGTCCACACTGAATATGTGGAAGCATTTTTTCCCCAAAATCTATTTGATTGGGCCATCAGTTACACTGTGTAACAGGTTAAATTGGCAATTTTAATAATCTTAAAATAATAGTTTCAAAAATGGTAGGTAATTGATGTATAGATTCCATTGCTTTATTAAAATGAAGCATCTATTATTTAAGATTGTATATGTACAGGAGTTGGAATTAATTTCTTGAAATGTTAGTGGGTTATAAGCATGATATATACAATATGCACAATGTTTTATCACTTAATTGGTATACTTCTCTCATTAATAGTGAGAATATTTCATTGCAAGCAATACCTAATAGCAATTCCAAAGGAAAAAAATGAATTCCCAGACAACACAAAACATGACACAACAAAACTACACTGCCATAATTTCCTTCCAGATTTTAAAATTCGGCTTCTTTTGCATCAGTGTACAAAATAGAGTTTTTCATTTTCTTCTGTGGAAGCTTCAGTTTCAGTTTACAACCTCCTTAGGGTGGCCACAAGAAAAAGACAATAGACTTCCTGTACATTTAGTTGTTGTGTAGAGCAGAAAATTCCATTATATGTAGCTTGTAAGCTCCACATAAGCAGATCTTATGTATAGATCCTATTTATGTAAGTCCTTGACTAAGTGTGATTCCATGTGTGTGTGTGTGTGTGTGTGTGTGTTTTTTTAACTTCTTTGGTGGGAATTGCTAGGTCAGAGAAAATGGCTGTGCTGCTTTCTGACTGCTTTGACCTATGTTTTTCTATTTAAATAGCAATATGGAAGAATTTATGCTGCAGTCATTTGCACAATATCTGGGAGTAAGTCACATTGAACATTATAAAACTTACATTTAGTTGTATTGTAAGCTATGAGGCGATAAGTAATACTAAGAATGATGGGATTTTGCTGATAGAGAAGAATAGAGTTAGCAGGATTGAAATTGTTTCATGGTGAAACATAGTGTTGATTTGATTTTCTGCACAGCCACTTTGCTAAGACTGAACTCTTGCTTCAAATGACAGATTGGGAGTGATGGTAGATCACATTTTCCATGCATACCTTTGTAATCCTAACTTTCCAATAGGTTTCAGCTTTATCACAATAACCTAATGGTCTTTCTGAACTGTAGCAAATGGTGAACCACTTCATAGTATTCTGTACCTAGAAGATTCTGGAAAGGTTGACCATAAGTTAGAATTGACTTCTCAGCACATAATTATTTTCATTGTTATGGTTATGTAAGAGTCTTGATCTGGAGGGCCAGAAATGCAGTACAGTGACCTCTCTCGTACTGTATAATATTCCTCCTAGAAATCTAGTATATAATTGATCCTACAATATCTGACAATGCTTATCAGCCACAGGCGGAGGAAGTCAAATGGAAATAAACAGATTGTGCCAGCTTGTGCCACATAGCTAACAAGCTATAAGCCTCATTAGTGCTAGCAGCATTCATTAGCTGATACCTAGTATTTATGTGTAATTATTTTACCACCCCCACTGTAAGATATTACAATGGTAATAGGTGGTGTCTGTTTATTTCTAGATTAGAGTGTAGTTTTCTCTTGAAATATTGGAAAATGTGTGGATTTACTCATCATACTATTATAGCAAGACCTATAATTAGTATTCACATCATATGCTCTATTTGTGTGTAGACATTAGAAGGGGCAAAGCATGGGTGATGAGAAGATGGGAAAGGGTTACTTGATGTACTTCTGATTCCACACACACTGCACAACTGAGGAGTTTGACTTCTTAAAGTGGCATGTGACATTAATTTCCTTAATTTTGTAACTCAAGTGCATGTATTACTTTACAGTTAATTTTTCTTCCAATTGGACTATAGCAGAATAGATATTTACAGCACAATCATATGCATATTGTCAGAGGAAAATCCCTGTTGAATTCAGTGAAAGTTACTCCCATGTATGAGTCTCTAGGACTGCAGCCTGTCCATCAAAGAAAAATGCTATAGAGGAGACTGCTGATTGCAGGGGCCATTTCAAGTTGTGCAATTAAATCAAATAATAGGCAGATCAATTTTAAAATGCCACTTAAACTTACTAAGTTAATTTTTCTTCCCTTATAATCAAACTACACTCCTCTAGAAAGGTTTCAACTAAAACAAAATTAATTAGTGTAGATTCTAACACCCATTGGTTCTGCTCTCAATTAGCATAAACAGAACTTATAGTTTGGAATGAAAAAAGCTATTTCCATTAAGTATACCAAGTTTTATCTCTGGTTAAACAGTTTCCAGTGACTGCAGTATCTGATTTGTAATTGTACATTTTAAATAATTAGATGCTTACATTTTAACCATTTTGAGTGGAAGTTTTTTCTAACAATTTTGTGTCTAAAAATACATTCACTGAAAAACATGTACATCATGATATGTGTTGGCCTTGATCTAATTTAAATAGATTTTGAAGAAAAAAAATCAAGCATCTGTTAACATGCATTGTATAGTAATTTTCATCTTTCTATCTTTTTCTCGTTCATCCATTAAACCTCTCCCCAACTCTTACTTGTTACTCTGTTATAATTTTAAAACTGGAATATTTAGGTTGCAGTAGGGGAAATAGTGAAAGTGACCAATGGGGAGCATCTCCCAGCTGATCTCATCAGTCTGTCATCAAGGTTAGAATGAAGCAGTTTCAGAAAAAAAATGTGTTTGTGGGTCCTCTTACACCAAATCCTGAGTTACAAAGCAGAGTTTGTAGCACCATTACTTTCCAACAAGATTATATACACTTCAGTTCTAAGAATACAGCACCTGAGTAAGATGAGTTTACAAGAAAGTTTTCTTTTTGTGCCAAAGCAGTATTACTTCAGCATTACTTCTTGGTAGAGTTTGTACAAATAGTTAAGGTTGCAATTCTGTGCATATTTCCTGTAGTGTAAATCCTGTTGATTTCAGTGGGACTTAATCTGAGTTAACCCACATAGGATTGCACTGTAACAAGTGAAAATATATGAATATTTGAAAATGCAGAATTTATTTATTTTTTCTTGCTGTCCAGTTATTACTTACATACTGTACTTACCACTATTATTATCAAGCAATATTATTAATTGTTTTTTCTGGAATATTTCTATATGCCCTGTTTACTTACATTTTTTAACTAATAATACACTTATAATAAAAGTATAGAGCACCACTTTATTTCAGTAACTTTATACAATGCCCCAGATATTAGCAGTTGTCACATTTTATGGCTCATAGAGGACCCTCAGCACAAATGTAAATGTTGTACGTTTTGTATTGCATGCAATTGGCTAACAGTTATAGTCTGTGATTAAAATAGTGCATGATACTATGATATATTTCAGATTTTTAATGCTGTCTATCTTATGCTTGCATTTACCTTGCAGTAATCAAAGTAATTTAATTTGAGCAATGAGTGCTATCATTGTTTCAAGGAATATCTGTAGTGGAGCATGTTCTCTTTATTAATACTTCTGCTGTCTTATTTATTTGTAAAATCTGTTGCAAGATATACAGCTCAGTATTCTGCATGTTAACATGGAGGTAAGACCACTGACAACAGTGGGACTTCTTCCTAAATAAATGTGTGTAGGATTATAGCCTTACAGTGCAATCACACAGTTACATGCTCTGAAAAAAGTCCTACTGAGTTCAGTAGACCTGTTTCCAGATATGTGTAGGTATACTGGAATACAGATAAGTATCAACAAAATAGTGTAGAGAAATAGTCTAAATTCTAAGTAATAGTCTGTCATTTACATTTACAGAAAAGATGGTTAGGGGAAAAATCAATCAGAATAAAATTGAGAAATTTCCTATGTGAACATAGAATTGTTTCGTAGTTATACTAAATAATATTTTATAAATTGTGAAAGAACATCAGTCTGTCTCAGGAATTACTCTGCATTTGCAGGTTGTCTCACATAGTCAAGACTTTCTTGTATGCTTCATGTTGCACACTTGGTTTGACAGGGGGTTACATAACCCCCACAAAGTAATTTATTGTTTTGTGTTGCAATTCCATAGCTTGTGGCCTTATCTTTCTATTTGGCTAACATACTTTGCAAGGGAATTTTTCAATATATTAAATATTCTAACTATAGTGCATGGTAAAGGCAGAGTGAATAGATGTTCTTCCCTACAATATTTTAAATATATTTTATTTAAGTTGTTTTGATAGTCTTTTTCTGGAAATGTGAATGACTTGTCAACATGTATGTTTTACAATGTCATTTCTTAGCACACTAAGAAATGACATTGTAATTCAATGTGTATATTTTCCACACTATTTTTAAAAATGCGTCTTCTCTGTCTTCTAAGTGAACCACAAGCTATGTGCTACATTGAAACATCGAATTTAGATGGTGAAACAAATCTAAAGATACGACAGGTAAGAAAAACTGCTCCCTGTCAATTAAATACTTTTTAAGTATTTCTTTTAGTATAAAGAATTGTGGGTTTTTTTTGTTTAGCTCTTGAAATGGACAGTGTTTAGAATGAAGCAGTGGAGAAGCCTTCCACTGCTTGGGCCATTTGCTTGCTTGCAATAAATGCGACTCCATTCCTATGGCTCTTATCATGACCTGAGTAATAGATGGTAAATTCCTTGGACTGAAAATAACCATTATCTGTCCAGTCATGCCAAGGAGGTCACTTTTCAGTGTGATCATTTCTCATTTCACAATATCCAATTTACCTTGGCTCATTCCTCTTACATTCCAAGTTGCTACTTGCTGTATTTTCATGCAGTGCAGACCCTTGCTTTCACTATTGGTAGCATCATCAATTGAGGTTCCTACTGGATTTGCCCCAGGCAAGAACTACTTGCCACAGGTTTTTGCTCTTCTCCACTCACTAATTGGGTACCTTCTGGCCTGAGGATCTTACTATTGGGCACCATATTGAAATCATTTGAGAGCCTTTTCATGGAATTTTCTTAGCAAAAAAATTTTAAATGTAGCTTGCCAGGTCTTTCCTTAACCCTCCCCATTTATCCAGTCTTAGAACCGCCGTGTACACCTGAATAAACAAGTGCACGTGGCTATATCATATAATGACAATTAGAATTCATGCCAAACCCATCAACATTACAGTTGTTCATTTTTATGCTCCAACAACTGATGCAACATTGTAAGAAATCAAGGATTTCTATGCCACTGTTGAAGATAACACTGAAAACAATCCCAGAATATTAGTTACTTACATGGCAATTTTAACACAAAAAGTGGTTCCCAAAGAGAGGCAGAAATCACTGGTAGTTTTGAGCTGGGAGAAAGAAATGACACTGGCGATCAATTGGCATAATTTTGGCAGGAAAGTCAGCTTTGAATCATGAATACATGGTTAGAACATTGTACGTTTCGCTTATACACATGGACCTTGCCTAATGGACTAAATTGCAATCAAATTGATTATGTCCTATGTAATCAACAGCAGACCAGCTCTGTTCTTGCAGTCAAAACATATCCAGGTTCAGACTGTGGTTCAGACAATGAATTGCTGCTGGCCGGGATCAAAGTAAAATTCTGTAACATCAAGAGGACAACACCAGCAAAAAAGTTTGATGTCATGAAAATTCCCTTCACATATGCAACTGAAATTATAAATAGGTTTGAAGTTCTGTTGAAAATGCCTGAAGAACTATGGCAAGAAATGCAATCATCATTAACACAGCAGATGATTATGTACCACTCAAGGAGGTAGAGAAAAAGTGTAGATAGCTCTCAGAGAATACCATCCAAATAGTTGAGAGGAGAAAGGCAGTTAAAACAGTGGATAACCATAAAGAGGTGAAAATGTTGAATGCTGACTTCCAAAGGGCAATGAGAAAAAGATAGTGTTTACTAGGAGAAGCATTGTAAACAATTAGAAGACTGTACAAAAGGATACACTAGAAGTGCATTGGCACAAATTAAAAAGATTTGAGTACTGTTCATGATTCACAAAGGTATCATCAAGGATAAACAAGGGAAATTGCCCAACCAAAAAGGCATCAAGAACAGATGGTGAGAATATGCAGCAGAACTGTATGCCAGCAACAAAAAGGGGCAAACATCAAACTGAGGAGGGGAAGGAAATAGAACCAGTACCAGCTATACTTGATGAAGAGGTCATGTGGGCCATGAACCAACTGCCAAACAACAAAGCTTCAGGGGTCGATAACATCCCTGTAGAGTTGCTGAGGCAATTGTTAGTCTTGTGTCAGAAAATTTGGGAAACCAATACATGGCCACAAAACTGGAAACAATCAGTGTTTATTTCATTACCAAAAAGGGGAGATTCAAAAGATTGTTCTAACTACCACATGATTGCTCTTATCTCTCACAGTAGTAAGATCTTACTGAAAATTTTACAACAATGCCTGGCACCAATAATTGAAAGGGAATTGCCAGATGCCCTAGCTGGTTTCTGTCAGGGTTGTGGCACCTGTGATCACATTGCAAATGTTCAATAGATAATGGAAAATGTTATAAATATCAAAAGAACATATACATGTGCTTCATTGATTATAGGAAAGCTTTCAATTGTGTTGACCATGACAAACTATGGATAGCCTTAGAAGACCTTGAGGTGCCACTACATTTGGTGAAGTTGATGAAATCACTGTATGAAAATCAGGAAGCCATTGTATGACCTCAGTATGGAGACACTGACTCGTTTAAGATTGAGAAAGGTGTGCTGCAAGATTGCATCCTGTCACTTTTCTTATTCATAATCGGAAGTGATAATCGGAAAGCTGGAGTTAGAAGTATCAAAAATTGGGGTAAAAACTGATGGAAGAAACATCAATAACCTTTGATATGCGAATGACACAACCGTCCTCTCAGAAACCCAGGAAGGTCTAAAGTACCTGATTGTGAAACTCAAAGAAGAAAGTGAGAAGTTTGCCCCCTTTTGAATATAACCAAACTCATGACAACTGCAAAGAATTGAAACATCAAAATTGTAATTGGTGCAAAGGAGGTTGAGTGTGGAAGAATTCATCTTTTATGTTCACTGGTCAATCAAAACGATGATTGCAGCCAAGAAATAAAACTTCAAATCATGCTTGGTCACACAGCACTGATGAGTATGAATCAAATATGGAAAAGTAAGGATGTCAGTTTGACAACCAAGTGCAGAGCAGTTTGCACCATCATATTCCCCATAACTACATATAGCTGTGAAAGTTGAACAATGAATAAGATGGACCAAAGGAAATTTCGTTTGTGAATTTCGTTGTATGTGTATATACTTACAATGACAATAAATTATTATTATTATTATTATTAAAAATGTTTCTTTTGAGTTGTGGTGTTGGAGGAAGCTTTTGTCCATTCAATGCACCACATTCAGTGACCACAAAGATAATGAATAAAGAAGTGCTGAAACTTAGAAAACCAGACATGTCACTGGAAAGCAAAATAACAAAACTTAGACTTAGTTCTTTCACCCATGTCATCCGATCAATGTCATTGGAGAAAACCGTTATGCTTGGAATGGTCGGTGGTAAAAGACAACAAGGACACCAAAGGACACTTTGGTTGGATGTAATCAAAGCAAACAAAATATAAAGCAGCTGAAAGAAGCTGAACAAGATTAGAAATAATGGAGAAAGCTGGCTCATGAAATCAAAAAGAGTTTAATACAACTGAATGGATAATTTGATTTGATCTGGTATAGGCGTATATCAGATAGCAGGAATTCTAAAAATAATCCAGGCAGTGACATTCACATATGTGGAATTGATTGCACTGAACTGATTGTACATCCATGTTAAAATAAATGGACCTCTGGCAGAGGAATAAAAATACTCACTGCCGCACAAAATAATATGATCCTCTTTCCAATTAATCCACACTTGCACATTGTTTTTGTTGTTTAGTCGTTACGTCATGTCTAACTAACTCTTCATGACACCATGGACCAAAGCATGCCAGTTCCTCCTGACTTCCACTGCTTCCTGGAGTTTGGTCAAATTCATATTGGTAGCTTCAATGGCACCGTCCAACCATCTAATCCTCTGTCGTCCCCTTCTCCTCTTGCCTTCACTCTTCCCCAACATCAGGGTCTTTTCCAGGGAGATTTTTCTTCTCCCGAGATGGCCAAAGTACTGGAGCCTCAGCTTCAGGATCTGTCCTTCCAGTGAGCACTCAGGGTTGATTCCTTCAGAATTAATAGGTTTGATCTCCTTGCAGTCCAGGGGACTCTCAAGAGTCTCCTCTAGCACCACAATTCAAAAGCATCAATTCTTCGGCGGTGTCCGTGCACGGGGGGGCACCCCTCGCGGGGGCAGGGGCATGCTCGTGGGTAGGTGGGCACGCTCATGGGGACGGGGGACAGGGCATGCACATGCATGAGGGTGGGGGGAGTGTGTGCAGAGGGGGCAGTAGATCTGTCTCCATGACCCAGGGAAAGTGGTAAAAACATTTAGAACCTTCCTGACAGTCATATAGGTGCAGAATGAGGAAGGAAGAAGAATGCAAGCTTGAGGCTTTATAGTAATAGTAATCTTAGAACTGCAGAGCTGGAAGAGACCCTATACATCAGGGGTCCCCAACCTCCAGTCTGCAACCCAACAGCAGTCCACGACCTGGGCAGTCCACGACCTCCTCCCCCCCATGAGCGCCCTGTGTGTATGCACATGAGCATGCTTCACCCCTGCGAGCGTGTCATGCCCCCCCTCAACCGGTCCATGGTTGGGAAGAGGTTGGGGGCCACTGCTATAGATCATAGAGTCCATTTCCTGTAAAGAAGGCACAGTGGGGTCTTCTTTCTGCACTATACCATGGCACAGTGTTATATACAAATGTAGGGAGTAGATCAAGAAAATGATGTAAAAATCTGTATAAGGCAGTCTTGTTGTGAGTTTTCTGTTACAGTTATAGTTAAACTCTTGTTCTTATAGGGTTTGCCATTAACATCAGATCTAAAGGACATTGACAGCTTGATGGGACTTTCAGGCAGAATTGAATGTGAAAGTCCTAATAGACATCTTTATGACTTTGTTGGAAATATTCGACTAGAAGGTCACGGGTAAGTAGATATCTAAAAAAGAAGTCAGCTAATTTATTACAATGCAATAAATGATTTAACATTATGCTTTTAAAAACTAACTGTACTTTTAAAAGATACATAACATGTTGGTTATTGTGAAGTTTGGTTCTATGCAGAAATCTGGTTACTATATGTGATTGCATTCAGGAACCTTCTAAGTTACTACATAGTTTAGTTCCCATGTGTAATCTTCCTAAAATCCTAATACAATGCTGAATCAGAGGAGAAAATTACTTTTTTTGAACTATATCTTCCAGAATATTGCAGTCACCATGGTCACTGAGAGTTTTAGGAATTATAATCCAAAAAGGTAACTTTCCTTATTTCTGGACTAAATAGAGATGCCAGAATTAAAATCACTTTTGGAAAGCAACTCTCAAAGAAACCTTACAAATACTACTAAGAATTCTTGCTTTCAGCAGAGCTAGCTTAAAGATGCAACTTAACTAGATCTTTTAGTTCTTCAAAGTAGTATTGATCAAATTCTTAAAAGGCTGGAGAACATCTCAAGAAAGAGATTATAGCACTACTTACAGACGCAGCCCTTTCACAAATGGAAGTTGCTATTACTGTTCATAGAAAAGACTTGAGATAAAAATGTTAGGTCAAAAAGGATGGGATCCATTTGAACTATAGTAAAATTAGACTAGGTAAAGGTAAAGGTTCCCCTTGACATTTTTAGTCCAGTCATGTCCAACTCTAGGGGGCGGTGCTCATCCCGTTTTTCAAGCTGTAGAGCCAGCTGAAGACAGTTTCTGTTGTCACGTGGCCAGTGTGACTAGGGAACGCCGTTTTACCTTCCCACCGAGGTGGTACCTACAGTGGTGTCTCACATAGCGATTGCTCCGCTTTATGATGAAATCGCTTTGCGATGGACTTTTTACCATCGCAAGAGCGATCGCTTTGTGATGGCCCCTATGGGGAAAATTCACTTTGCGATGATCGTGGGGAAGCACTTCCCCGCGATCATCCCAAAGGCCCAGCCGATCAGCTGTGCTGCGAGTGGTGGAGAAAGAGAGACCTGAAGCACAGCTGATCGGCGGGGGCTTGCAATGATCACGGGGAAGCCATCAT